ATGAATGAATTGAACAAAAGACATGTTCGCCTAGTTTGAATATGAAACCATGTACAGCTAGCCCTTCACTATAACTACATATATCTATTCATTTGGTCTCAAATCCATCATAAGTCCCAATTCATCTCGTATATATAACTGTGCAGCAACAAGAGTCTCAAATTTTGATCACACGAGTCTAAGTTAATCTCAAGTATGTAACTATGCAGTTAATAGAGTCTCAATTAATTTGCAGTTTTGTAACCCATTAATCTACCAATCACATACAACTCAACATCAATCATATAGATATTTAACTCGAATCAAACTAGTTCATTATTGACACAAACTGAATCTAACCTAATTATTTCATAGTTATCTACCAATCACAAATCTAACCTAACTATTTCACCATCCATAGCAACTCATCATCACATAGTTGTTTATCACCACGAAATAACTTGATAAGCTCACCACCATCCACATCACAAACTAAGTAAATAACTTAATCTAGAAGTTCATAGTCATGTAGTAATTGATAACTTATTTTTCCACTCTTGCCTAGGTTTCAAAAGCAATTAAGTAAATATTACTTAATTTGCCTGTGATGCTGATATTTCTAAGGGGGTGTTTGGATCCAGTGATTAAAATTTAGGAGGTGTCAAATGAGAGTGTCGTATGGGGTGTTTGGATACTAATAAAAAAAACAAATTGCATAATTCGTTAGTACTCCACGAGACGAATTTTTAAGCCTGATTAATCCGCCATTAGTACATGCTTACTGTAGCACAACGTTGTCAAATCATTGACTAATTAGGCTTAAAAGATTCGTCTCGCAAATTAGTCGCAAACTATACAATTAGTTTCGTAATTAGTCTATATTTAATACTTCATGCATGTATCAAATATCCGATGTAACACCGACTAAAGTTTAAAGAAGGAACCAAACACCCACTAACAAGAAGCCGCCTTGACGAGACAGCCGTGGAACTGAACTAACTCCCGGCATCTGAACGCTACTGACTCAGCAGTCAGCTTCCACGCACTGACACACAAACACACGAGCGACGCATTTGCCAACCAGCTACAGTAGTAGGATAGGAGTTGGAGTTCCAAAATTCCTTTAGTTGGCCGAATTCGGCGCCACCGGATTCCCGTGCGTCATCTGTAGCGCACTGTAACATTTTCGTTTGTATTTGATAATAATTATCCAATCGTTGACTAATTAGGCTCAAAACATTCGTCTCGCACAGTACAACCTAATTGTGCAATTAGTTTTTGATTTCGTCTACATTTAATACTCCATACATGTATCATAAATTTAATGTGACGATTTTTTTTTTTTTTTTGTATAGTACCAAAGTTGAAAGTTAGGTGCAACTAAACCAGGCCCCCGATTGCAAATGTCGCCAGTCATAATTGTCGTTTCTAGCCCCTCCATGCCATCCTTGTCAAGTTGTCATGCCACCCGCGAGCCGCGAGCAGCCAACCCGTACTCGCTCCCCTCCCAGTCCCGGGCTCCCGACGACCCGACCCCCTCCGGTGCCGTCCACTTCCACGTCCCTCTCGCGGACCACCAGCTGATCGAGGCAGCGACGACGACGCCACCAGCAGGCCAACACCTACGACCCGGCCGGCAGCAGGCAACTACCAACGAGTAACCGATGGAGCGCCTCATTCCATTCCTTTCAGCAAGTCCTAGATTCCTGTTCGCTTGAACTTATCAACCGACTTATCAGACTTATCAGTTAGAATTTATAGTATTTTTCTCTCACAACAAACTAGCTTTAGCCAGTTTATCCGCCGACTTTAATAACAGCCGAACGTGCCCTCGTCGCTGGCAGACACCCCAGTCCAGGTCACTGCCTGCCTCGTTCCGCGATGCCAGCGGCCGCTCTTGCTGTGCGGGTGGCCGTCCTGCTCCTCCTCGCCCGAGGCGGATCCGGATCAGCAGCCGTCGAGTTCGTGCTCACCGGCTTCGCGCGTGACAACGTCAGGACCAGCGGCACGACCGTCCTCACCTCCTCCGGCCTCCTGCAGCTCACCAACGAGACCAACGAGGTGTTCGGGCACGGCTTCCACCCCGTGCCGCTCCGCTTCAAGGACCCCTCCACGGGCGCGCCGCGCTCCTTCTCCACCACCTTCGTGCTCGCCATGGTGCCGCGGCACGAGGACTCGCATGGGCACGGCATCGCCTTCGCGCTCGCGCCGTCGGTGGCCGTGCCGGGAGCCCTGGCAGGGAAGTACCTCGGCCTCTTCAACACGTCTGACAACATGGGACCGCTTAGGAGCGAGGTCGTCGCCGTCGAGCTCGACACGGCGATGGATGTCGAGTTTAACGACACCAACAACCACCACGTCGGCATCGACGTTGGCGGCTTGTGGTCCGCGAACTCGACAGCCGCAGGGTACTACACCGACGGCGACGTCGGCAGGTTCGCCGGCATCAGCCTCGTGAGCGGGGAGCCCCTACAGGTGTGGGTCGAGTACGACGGCGCGACCATGCGCCTGGAGGTGACGGTGGCGCCGGCGCGCAAGCCCCGGCCGTCCCTCCCGCTCGTGTCTTCCATCGTCAACCTCTCGTCAGTCGTGGCCGACGACACGTACGTCGGGTTCACCGCGGCGAACGGCGCGGCCTCGAGCTCTCACTACGTTCTTGGCTGGAGTTTTCGCCTAGGTGGCGGCCGCGCGCCGGACCTCGACCTCTCGAAGCTCCCGTCCGTCCCGTCGTCAAGGTCGTCCAAGAAGACGACGTCGCAGCTACTGGTGGTCACGCTGTCCTTCGCTGTCGTCGTGGTACTCCTCCTAGTGTCGGTGGCAGTCGCGGTGCTCGTCATCAGGCGACGGCGGTTCGCCGAGGAGGAGGACTGGGAGATAGAGTACGGCCCTCATTGGATCAGCTACAGGGACCTGCACGCTGCGACCAGGGGTTTCCAGGACGTCATCGGCGAAGGCGGCTTCGGCCGCGTGTACCACGGCGTGCTCCGGCGGCCGGTGGCCAGCGAGGTCGCCGTCAAGAAGGTGTCCCACGACTCCCGGCAGGGGCTGCGCGAGTTCGTTTCCGAGATCGCGAGCATGAGCCGGCTGCGCCACCGCAACCTGGTGCAGCTCCTCGGCTACTGCCGGCGGCGGGGCGAGCTGATACTAGTCTATGACTACATGGTCAACGGCAGCCTCGACAGGCGCCTGTTCGACGCCGCCGGCAAGCCGGTGCTGAGCTGGGAGCAGCGCGGCAAGATCGTCCGGGATGTCGCCGCCGGGCTGCTGTACCTGCACGAGGGGTGGGAGCAGGTGGTGGTGCACCGCGACATCAAGTCCGCCAACGTGCTCCTCGACGCCGACATGAACGGCAAGCTGAGCGACTTCGGCCTCGCGCGGCTGTACGACCACGGCAGCAACCCGCAGACGACGCACGTCATCGGGACGCTGGGGTACCTCGCGCCGGAGATGAGCAAGACGGGCAAGGCCACCACGAGCACCGACGTGTTCGCGTTCGGTGCCTTCCTCCTCGAGGTGGCGTGCGGCCGACGGCCCATGGAGCGCAGCGACGATCTCGACTCGCCGGGGCTCGTCGACCTCGTCCTCGAGTGCTGGAAGGCCGGGAGGATCGTGGAAGCCAGGGACCCAAAGATCGGCACGTGCGACGAGCCCGACGTCGAGCTGGTGCTCAAGCTCGGCCTGCTCTGCTCGCACCCTGACCCCCGGTGCCGGCCGAGCATGAGGCAGGCGGTGCAGATCCTCGAAGGCGCTGCGCCGGTGCCGGAGACGCCGCCCAAAGATTTAGCCAGCAACAACTACGGATACAGCGAGTCTTTCGATGAGTTCGCCACCATGTTCCAAGCGACGTCGGAGGTCACCAGCGTCACCACGCAGCCGTCTTCCTCACACTCCACCGGCGAGGAGCAGCAGGTCTCCTCCGGCTCCGGCTGAGTAGTGGCACCATTTGTCTTCACCAAATCACCAAATTTTAGTCACGTGTTTACGATAGTTGGATAGGGAAGCAAATAGTCATCATAGGTTTAGGTGTTGTGTGATATTTTCTTGGAAGCAAATATAGATATGGTCATCCATTTGTACGGATGACCAAAAAATAAAGTTTGATGTATAAAGCTTTAACTGCTGAGGGTGAGACTAGACCAATCAGCTTGAACTATTCCTCGCTTGTTTGATCATGACGAGAACAAAAAGGTGAACACATCTCTAATTCTAAACTGGGCTTAGGCCTTTGATCCGCGCCCTGATCGGGGCGTTCAGCCCACTATGGATGGAGGACACCTGTCACACTGCGCAATAAACAGAAGTGGGGGCCGGCGGCTCAAGTCACGAGGTTCACCTGAGCCGAGCTCCCCACCGACAGCTAAACCCTAATCCGATCTAGAGGGGCGCAGCCAGTGACGGGAAGCCACCAGCCGCGCCGCCCCGCTCCACCGACGTTGACGGCTTCATCGACCTCTTCCCCGAACGTCGCTGCCCGTGCGCTGACTTCACCGACGAACGAGATGGCCGACGCTTCTGGACCTCCCTCCGCGGTGTCAGGTTCGACACCTTCTCCTTTCTCTCTCTGTCTCTCTAACTCTACATGTATTAGGATGTGCTGCATCTTTTATCCCGAATAGAACCATTCTACCAGCTAGATCTATGCTCCTAGAAAGTCCAACAATGGTATCAGAGCCAGTTTCCTAGGGTTTTAGATCTAGAACGGTGAACGATTAAACACATAGTAGAAGCCAGCTGAATGAAGTGGCTGTGGTGTCTGGTTGTCCCATCTCCAGTCGATAATATTCCAGTAAACCATGTAGTCGTTCTTACTCACCAGCTCGCTCTTGATTGCCGCTTTGTCCTTGTACAATCCAGCATATACGTACCCCATAGAAGGCCTCTTGTTGCTACTGACTAGCTTAAGAAGGTGCACAAGTGGCTCGGTGATGTGAATGACGGCAGCACAAGAGTTCCAAAACTGCAAACTATTAACAAGATTGCTTGCTTCAATCCCTCCTTTCTTTGGCAGCAAGTCTATCCATTCATCTGAGTTGACCATAGCTTGCAAAGCCTCCCTCAAACTGTACATGTTCTTCAATGTCACAAAGTTCATAGCAGCACGAGTCTCTGCAGGAACTAGCAGATCCTTCCCTTGCAGATACTTCTTCATCAGATAACGTATATGCGCTGTTGTAGACAAATCTCGTGATGGCCTTTGCATTCCTTATTATCTCACTGATTGCCTCCACCTTGCTGAAATCTTCGAGCATGCCATCAACACACTGGCAAGTGCATGGAAACCAGAACAATGTGGGAAATGTTTCGCCTAGCTTTTTTCCCGCAGCTGCATGGATCTCAGAATTGTTTGTGATCACTTGGACGACTTTTTTCTCGCCAACCTCCACAACAATACTTTTCAGTAACTCGTACAGTGCATCTGAAGATGTGACAATGCTGGTTGCATCCACAGACTTTTTTCTCGCCAACCTCCTCAACAATACTCATCAGCCAACACCGAGCAGCCCGTCCTGGTCCATGAACCCCTGAAGAACTCCAAGCGAGACATCACATCGTCGAGTGACCTCTTAAGAACGTGACCGCGAACGTCATGGTAAGAGAGCACCTCAGGCCTCCCTCCTGCAGCCGCAATGGCCTCAAGCATCGGCTGGAAGTAGACTGAGTTCATTGCTTCCAATGGCACACCAGCGTCATACAAGAACCTCCCAACTGCCACGGAAACCTGCTCCTTCTCCGAGGGGGCAGCATGTTCGAAATGCTGTGCCGGTGCCACTGCGTCCACTGCCATCACAACCTGATGAAGAGGATTCGTCTGAGTAGTAGGCGGAACATGCTGCAGCCCGTGAACAAGATTGGTCTGAGGAGTAGGCGGAACATGCTGCGGCCGAGTTTGGGGTATAAGTGGCAGAGCAGGGGCGTAGGTCACCTGCTTCCTCTTCTTCTTACCGCTGCTACTCCCCCTCGTGCTGCCCTCCGGAACCGGAGGCCTCTGCTCCTCGAGCGGCATGGGCTCGAAATCGAGCACCTCGTTGAGCGGTATCACGTGGATGGGGCTGCCGGTGCCCCCGCTAGCGGTAGAGACAGAGGCGGGCGGCGCGCTGGCGGCGGCGAAGCGGCGCATGTCGCCGGGCGAGAGGGAGGCGGCGAGCTTGCGCTGCATCTTCTTGGCGGCGACGGCGTCGAGGCTGCGGAGCATGGTGTCCTGCACGTCGCGGGGCACCTTGGGGCAGCAGTAGGCGTTCCCGGGGCGGCGGGCCAGGTGCTCCTTGAAGCGGTGGATGCCGCCGCCGAGGAAGTGCTTGCCGCAGTAGGCGCACTTGAGGCGCAGCCGGCCGTCGGCGCGCACCATGACGCAGTGCTTCCACGCCGGGTCGTGCTTCTGCGCGCCGATCGGCACCACCACCTCCCCCTCCCCCTGCTGCTCCTCCTCCCCTTCCCCCGCCGCCGCCGCCGCCGCCGCATCCTCCAGAACCCCGTCGCTCTCCATCAGGCAAGAGCACGAGCGCTGCTGCACCGAAAGGAAGGGGAAGAGAGAGAGAGAGAGAGAGAGAGAGGATGGGATGGAGAGAGAACTCACCCGGGTTTTCGGGAGGCGAAACGGCCGGGCTTCCCTCAAATCGACGGCCGCCGGGACGGGGTCCGGGAGGAAGAAAACCGGGAGGGGTGGGGGGAGGGTGGGTGGGAGACGGGTGACGTGGGGCCGACGTGTGGGAGTGGGTCGGTGGGTGGGGAGGAGCGGCGGGCCGGCGCTCATGGTCGGAGAAGCGACCGGACCAACCGGTTCTCGTGTGGGTTGGTTCGGGTTAGCTCAGGAAGGGCTGGTCGGACCATTGGGCCGGCCTGGTTGGTTTGGCTGCAGAATCCGAATCAGGAGGCTCCCAGCGCTCGCGCGGTCGCGCCCACCCGTTCGTCGGGCCAGAGAGGCAGAGAGAACCCGAGTTTAATCCTAACCACTCAAAAAAAAAAAACTAACCATAAGTGCACAAACCACAACACACTGTTTCTTCCTGTGTTGGGACTTAGGATTAAGCGATCATATAGAATTTAGGATTAGATTTTAGAAGATATTAGTTTCAGATTTTATGGGATTTGATGGTTTTAGCATAATTTCAAATTGTAAAATTATGGAACTAGGTTTTTGCCTGCAATTTAATGCTTTAGAGTTTATTTTTTCTACTAGAATATGTGAAACTTGAGCCACATCTTCTCACAGAAAAAAAACTCATGCCACGGCACATAAATGTAAAAAAAAATGACGAGTGGAGAGGCAGGCTTTGCCACCTTGTTCGCTTGATCGTATCAGCCGTGCTTATCAACCATCATACAATGTTTTCCTCTCACAACAAAATAGCATTATCCGGCTTATAAACCATAGAAACGATCAAGCGAACAGGGTGTGCATGGACGGATGGACCACTAGGCGCCCAACTTTTGATGTAGGTTAGTACTATTATTATTATTATTATTATTATTATTATTATTATTATTATTATCTAGTCTACGGTATAAAAATTTAAAAAATGTTTGAGAATATAACGTTCTTATCACTGGTTAAATGTTACTAATAGGAGCGAGCTAGGGTATAGAAATGTTAATATTAGTAGGTTTTTCATGTATTAGAGTATATGAATTCACTTTTATATATGTTTGAAAATTTAGAGTAGACATACATGATAAAACCAATAGTAATAAGGCATATCTAGGATTTTAATTTGCTACAATTACTATGCGAATTCACGTGCCGTGCACAATTCTAGTCATATTTAGGTCCTTCGTAATTTGAATCCAAACTAGAGGTATTTCCAATATAAGCTGTCAGAACTTAGAAGGGGTTATGGCGTCCATAGCTAGGCATCAAACTCTTAGGGCGTGATGGTAATATGCTAAGATTTCTCAACCAAGCTCATGTGAGACATGCTCACGGGAGTCAGGCTAGCTAGAATAGAAGTGCAAAAAGTAAGCTTGTTTGGTTACATGTATTTAAATAACTCAAGCTTGAACCCTTGCACATAACTAAACAACCATAAAACAAAAAGATGTTGCATGCATGCCCTACAGTGAACAAGGCACAATAGTTCGGTGCCATCCTGACTCATGACTCGTGAGAAACACCCTCAATCTATGTTTCTCTATAGCCTGGCTGAAGGCACTTTGATGTTCGTGTGCTGAGAAGATCGGAGCAGTGAACCAAATAAGTTGTTGCATGACGTGGACTAGGCCTAAACCTATTCAGGCTTTCGATCATGCCCTTAGTCTCTAAGTCATGTTGGGGTCATCACGTAATAAACTCTCTTAGTTATTTTCATAATGAAAAGCATGCATCGCATATTATTAGGAAAAAGTTCTCTTCTTCTAAATGAAGTTACAACTTCTTCTAGTTCAAATACTGATAACTTTGGTGAATCAAAGTAATAATGAAATGAAGTAATCTCAAGTTAATACCTGTCTAAGGTTCATAAGCTAGGACCTTTCCTATTGTTTATCCACGTGTCATATAACCCGGTACCAACAGGAAGCTAGTATTCCACAATCATGGGATGTAGAGCTGGGATAGAAATACTACACTTAACTGCGAGTACCAAATCAATGTTCTGAGCGCTATTTGGAATGGGCTAACTAGCTTTGTTATCAAGTTTTTTTTAGGAGGAAGCTTTGTTATCAACTTATCACGTCACAAGCAATTTTGATGCCCAGCCCAAGCCCGCGAGGTAGGGTTGCATAACCGACAATTTTGATGGCCCAGCAAACCTTCTCCCAGCCCAGCTCGGCAGCTCGCCTCCCTCTCTCGGTCTCTCGCCATCACTCGCATCGCCATTCGCCAAACAGAGCGATAGCGCCCTCCTTGGCTCCGGCGACGCTCCCTTACCACAAACCCTAGCGGCGCGTCCGAATCAAGGCGAAGGACAGCGCGGGCGACCAACAACCACGCTGGCCGTAGGGCAGGCGAGGGCACGGCAGCGGCCGTGCGCGCGTGACACGTCGGGCCCAGGCAGCGATGGTGCCAAGGCCGCCGCAGCCTCTCCGTTGCTCCACCTCTGGTCCCTGGCCACCTCACCCAGCAGGAGATAAGCAGCAGGCACGGTGAAAGGTCCTTGTTTGGTTTTGGTAATTGAGTGACAATCCTAGGTGGACTAATTGTGTTATGTGAGATACACAGGTGATTAGTCCACAGGTATATGTGTGTGAGCAACATATGCCATGGAGGTGGAAATGGCTTGAAGATGTTGCAAAGCTCACACATATGATGAAGGAGCTCATTGCACATGAGACATGACATTGAGTCATGTGATCAAGGTGGAGAAGATCAAGACATGACTTGGATTGATGGACCAGTTGCAGGCGTGAAGGGCAAGTTGGAGGCTTTGAAGCGATGGACCGTGTGGTGGTGAAGGTTGAGCAAGACTTGGCGCCGATGGACGAAGGCAACGATGAAAAGCAAGTGAAGTTAAGATCGATGAACCAATACGGTCACGTGATGATGTGAAGTGGATCATATCATTTGGTGATTGGTTAGTGCATATGTTGCATCAACATTGGAGGAGATGGAATGGAATACGTAAGGCAAAGGTATAACCTAGGGCATTTCATTTCATCGGTCATAGGTGTGTAGAGAAGTTTATGACTGGATTTAGGATAGATGGCCATACTATCAAAAGGGGTAAACTTGTTTGCATATCAGTCATCTAGTGGCACTCGAGTGATCTAACTTTGTATCGTTGCTAGGATCGAGTGACGTGTCAAGTTGAGTGGCTAACTCCTTAAAAATATTTGTGAAAAGCTAACACACATACACATGGTGGTGTACACTTGTTGGTGTTAGCATATTTACAAAGGAGAAGAAGTTGGAGTTAATGAAGATCAACTCGGTTAAGAAACGGAGGCGAGAAGGTGTCACTGTGAGTGACCGGACGCTGGCCTCGACAGGACCGGCGCGTCCGGTCAGTGCCAGCAGATAGCGTCGTTGTCTCGGTCAAGTGATCGAACGCTAGGCGAAGAAGTAACCGGACGCACAATGGCTGTGTCCGGTCAGGGTGACGTACGGTGACGTAGGCGGCGCTGAAGTTGGCGCGTAGGCGCAGAGCTGATCGGATGTTGGTCTGCGTCCGGTCGTGTAGGAGCGGACGCGTCCGGTCGCAAAATAGAGGCTCAGGGAGCTCTCTAGAAACGACCGGACTCAGGCGTAGCAGCGTCTGGTCATCCTCGTTGTGCTGCGTCCGGTCGCAACTTAACCGTTGGCGCGCGAAGTTACCGTTGAGATCGGTGTCTCCGGTTGAACGCAGAGCGGCACGTGGATGGTGTAGCGAGACCGGACGCTGGCCGGGTGCGTCCGGTCAGTGTGACCTGCGCGTCCGGTCGTCCCAAAAATGCCCAGTGAAGAGGTAATGGCTATTTTAGCTCGTGGGGCTATAAATAGAAGTGTTGGTCGGCCTTTGGTCGGGTGTGGAGCAGAGCTGAGCACACTAGAGTCTTGGTGGCTTATGTGGTAGTGCTTGGGAGTCCTATAACTCACTTGAGCTTGATAATGTTTATCTGATCGAGTGAGTGAGCGATTCTAGTGTGATTGCATCATGAGGTTGCATCGAGTGGTACTAGATGGTCGTCTTGCAAGGCGATGGTGCTTGTTACTCTTAAAGGTTGCCACCTCCTAGATGGTTTGGTGGTGGTCTCCGTCGAAGCCCGCAAGAAGCTTGTGCGGTGCTCCTCGAGAAGAGTTTTGTGAGTGGCATTGTGCTCGCCCCACGGGAGCCACGAAGAGCAACTCTAATAGAGCGAGACACAAAGGGCGACAAGTGATCCGACTGGGTCAAGTGCTGGAGCTTGTGGTAAGCACTCCACGTGGGAGAGTATGACTTGCGGGTCACCATTAGCAAGAGGACCGGCGACAACCTTGGAGCTTGTCTCAACGGGGACGTAGCGTGTTGACAAGCACGTGAACCTCGAGAGAAAAATCACCGTGTCAACATTGTTCTTCCCGTTGATTTGTAATCCCCTTATACAAGCTTGTAATTACTTTCTTATACATTGTGCTTGTGTAGTTGCTCTTATAATTAGTTAGCTTATGTAACTTACTAGTTACCTTCTTGCTTGTGTAGCATAGAAGTAGCTCCCTTACGTGGCTAATTTGGTTTGTGTAACCTTGTTAGTCACATTGCTTAGTTTGTGTAGCTAAGTATTTACACTCTCTAATTTGGCATTGGTTGCCTTGTTATTGAGCATTGCTAGTGAGCTTAGTAGCTTTGTGCTTTTGCTTACTAGAATTGTGTAGGAGCTCTCCGGTGTGTAAAATAGTAGTGTCATAGGTTTGTGTGACCTTGCTTCTAGAATTAGATAGGTGAGCTCTAACTAGCTCGGTATCTTTGTTGCCTAATTATGATCTTTATAAGGTGCTTATGAACTTTGATAGAGAGATATGTAGTCTTGATTAGATCAATTATTTTAATTCCGTATTTATTTCGCTTAACGGGTCGATTAAATTTAGAAATAATT